AACGAAACAAGATTTTTGAGCAATTGTGTAACTTACATCGAATCAATCACAACAGGCTCACTCACCCCTCGCAGAATCCTGATTACTTAGTGCGAGTTTATCCTTCTCCTCCTGCGGCAGGCCAAAAAAGATCCTAGCCAACTCGGTCAACTCTTCCGGTTCACTCGGATCTGACATAGCAGAGATATCGAGATAGAAAAACCCGAAATCGCGACACGCTGCATGGAGAGCTGAGGATACTGCTGTTCTTGCAGTTTCGATTTCGACTTGGGATTGAGCGGCAGAAGGTTGAGTGAGATATGGGGCGATGTTGATGATTGGGAGGGAGAGTGAGCTTGCTGGTGAAGACAAAGGATTTGGCTTTGGAAGGGAACTTGAACTGGAGACCATCGTTGTGTATGAAGAAGCTCAATGTAATAGATAAGGTCAAATCCATAAATGGAAATTGATAAGATCTCTCGGACTGCAATTACTCGAACATAGGAAAATAAAAAATTCATAGTTATTATAATAAGTAACGGAATGCAAAAATGCTAAGGCGGAGGAGAATCCTGAGTCTGAGTATAAATCGTACGTCCAGAAGGATTTCCTGGCCCCTGCAAAAACCCAGTCGCAGAACCACCACCACTAGCTGCCGGCCCTGTGTACGCTCTACGAAATGAAGATGGTTGTATCTGTGGCTGAGAAGGCTGGTTCGTCGACGCAGAAGCAGAAGCAGAAGATTCCGAATTCTGAGTTGGAGCTGGACTAGTCGTATCATTCGGCGAGGCCGAAGCAGACGCAGACGCAGATGTCGTGATAGTTATAGCATCGCGTCGTTGCTCTGGCGCAGCAGCAGCAGCAGTATGCGATTCTGCTGTCGCACTCGTAGTGGCAGTCGCAGAATGGCGTAAAGAATCCACAGTTATCGGTTCCGTCCAATGCGTCCATGGTCTCGCATCGAGAACGTTACTAGACCCTGATCCCTGTGCACCATCCCACGTCATAAGCTGACCGCCGCCAGGTCTGTTATTACTCGTGCTGGTACTGCTAGAGCTTGCGAATGCACTATGCGAATGCGTATGCGCTCCATTCACCTGCAGATGTTCACTATTGCCATTTCCATTGGCGACCCTAAAACTGGACGTGGTGCTGTTATCATACTTGAATTCGCGTGGCGGCAGCAGAACCCCATTATTTCCGTTCCCGTTTACAGCTTGTTTTGGCGGCTTTGGCTTAGAAGAGGAGGAGCTGCTTGCTTTTAGGGGTAATGGCACAGAGGCGGATTTCGACAAGAGTTTTGCCTGTGGAGAAGGAACGTCGGAAAAGGGGTCTTTTAGTGCTGCTTCTCGCAATTCAAGAGCATCGGAGAGAGACATGGGATAGGGTATGATGTCTGTAATTTTGAGGCGCGTCAATAACTGAGCGGAAAGTACAAGCGGATTAGGATACCTTTGAGAAACATAAACTCTTGGTATTGTCGCGTGGTGTCGGCTTGAGAAAAACGAAGGTTAGAGAGATTTGACATGTAGAAGTAAACACACACCCATGTCGCGGTAATTAATCGCGTTTCTTCTAGCCGTAGTAGCTTGCCTGTGACCGCCTTGGACAAGACGCTTGATAAATTCTTCCTGAGATATACCTCAGGCCTCGATAAGTGATTCAAGATACATGAACTGCCTACCGTAGCAACAGACAGAACGAATAAACCTTCTTTTGATAATGAAAGACTGCCAGTCACTCCTGGATAGATCATTAGAGAGCTGAAAATGAACAAACAGGGAACCCAACCATCTGCTTGTAGGATATTTTCGATTTTGACTGCAGGCATAATCGTCGTTCCTGGTACACGGCGGTGATGTTTTGAGCCACCAGAACTATCGAGAGAATCATCCTCGGGTTCCGACGCAGACGCCAATTCGTCAATTTCCTCTTCCTCGTCTTCAATGATCTCGTCTTCTACATCCAAACCGTTCTTTTGGCTGAGATTCCAGGGTGGATTATTCTGATTCATTGTGGGCGTAGAGTCTACTATCAGCGTTGCGGGTCCGGAGGAAATAGACATAGCGAAGGGGGACAATGGGATTTTCAATGCTTATGTGTAGAGTTACAACTTGACAGAGAAAGAGAGAAAGCCGGAGGAAAGGAAATAAAAAATCAACACAACAACAAGGAACGAGCAAGCGGCAGGAGTCCAAACACTGTTCAATAAGTTTTCTCGTCGGAACTATCATGTCCAAATTCGCTCCTCATCACCGTGGCACCAATAATCCACGGGCGACATCTAGTACAGTTTGCCAGAAATGCCTTGGAACAGGTATGTACATAGGTTTCCATGTCTTTCTAAATCTCAACTAATTATCCAACGTACAGGCCATTTTACCTACCAATGCAAAGGGACAACTAAATACCTCTCCAGGCCATCGAGAACACAGCAACTGGAGAACCCTCGTGTTTTAGCCAAACTCAAAGCCAGCGGGCAGCCATCGGTAGAAGTTCCTGAAGAATTCAAAAAACCGTGCGTGAATCTGTTATTCAACGCCGTGGAATTTGTTCGTTTACACGTTTTATTAGAAGCGGAACGGCGAATCGTTTATTAGAAGCAAAAGAAAAGGAACGAGCAGAGTCGAGTAAGAAGAGAAATCGACAGTACGTTGTTGTATATCTCTTACCAGTCAAGCTACGCTAAATCTGTTTACAGTTCATCGCATTCTTCGTCCGGCGACTCCAATAGTGATAGCGATTCGGACAGCGACAGTAGTTCGTCTCACTCTGACTCAAGTTCAGACTCTGATTCGGATAGCAATGCTAGTCGCTCCCGAACTTACAAGCGACGAAGAAGGAGCACCAGCAAGGATAAGGACAAGGACAGAAAACGGTCCGCATCTGCGGATTCACGATGATGATTTCTATGTGTACAGTCTTGATTATGGATTCGGGTATGGGGTATGGATGATGGATGAACGTGCAAGAAGATATTATAGTGCTGTAACACGGAATAGATCGAGAGCATGACGCATTAGCGACATAGATTTTCGAAACCGCTAGCGACCTTCGAGTTCATGATCAGTGCAACAATTAGTCTGAGAAACGGTCAGAGTTGTATGTTGTAAGGAAAAGCATAGCATGACGTACCCATACAATCCCAACACTTCGGCGAAAATCAGGATGAGCACCATCGACACAAACACTTTGGATTCTTGGAAGTAGGCTCGTACACACTGCAAAGTAGCTTCAGGAAACATTCCAAAAGAAAGAAATCGTAGTAAACATACCGCGTCGCCAACGATGCCAATAGCATACCCAGCAGTAAGCCCCGTAAACCCACAAGCCAATCCAGCTCCTAGGTGTACGAAGCCAGCAAATAGAGGGTAGCCTTCCGGTGTTACTATATGAACCGGAAATACCTAAGTACAAGTGGCGGGTGGGTTAAAGTACGACGGATACATACATGAGCCGGAAATTAGCACAGAAACGACGAGCCCATACACCGCAATTATACCAGACATAACGACTGGTATAAGTGACTTGAAATACAGCTTTAGTTGACGTATAACACAAACAGAGGTAACGCACTTTCATGATTAATTCAGGCTTGAATGTTCCAAGACCTGCGATACCGATTCCTGCTTTGGCTGTACCAAAGGCAGCTCCAACCGCTGGATAGGTATTCCTAGTGAGTTCCAAGGTACACTGAGACAATTTTATGAAGCATCGTACTGCTGAGAATCATCTGTATGACGAGTCAGTTAAGGTATCTGGCTTTCAGCTCTTACAGGCTTACTGCAGAAGCTACGCCTGCAAAGCCGAAAAACGGCGCATATGGTGGGCAGACAGACATAGTAGTTAGAAAGAGCAACGGTACGATGAGGAACGGCAGGCAGTTCGGAGTTTGAACCGGGCGTCTTTATTTTTTTCTTTACATGATTCCTCGACTAATAGCAAGAGTAGCTCTTCGCTCTTTCAGCTCTTCAGCTCCAGCGTACAAACACATATCCCACATTGGCGGAAAACCAATAACATTACCTCCAAATGTCTCTTTTTCTCCTTCTTCCTCTGCCCTCACTGTCTCTGGTCCTCTCGGAACAACTTCCGTCCCTCTTCACCCGTTCGTTCGCATAAAATTCCCGGTCGAAAATATTCTAGAAGTGTCTGTCGAAGACGCAGAAATAAAAGTCCAGCGTCAAATGTGGGGAACAACGCGTACTCATATTTTCAACGCCATTGTCGGAATGACAGAGGGATTCAAAGTTCCGCTGTATCTCGTTGGCGTAGGATATAGGGCTCAGCTGGAAGAAGATCCTAGAGGGACTCTGGACGGTGGAAATGGCAAAAGATTGACTATGAAGCTGGGCTATTCGCATTCAGTGCATGTGCCTATACCGCCTCATATCACTTGCGAGGTTCCATTACCAACCAAGATTGTAGTTTCGTGTACGGATAAACATCTGTTGGGTTTATTTGCGGCAAAGGTTAGAGGGTATCGAAAGCCGGAGCCGTACAAGGGCAAGGTAGGTACTTTTCGTTGCGTTTTTGATGAAAACTCACAGCGTTGTAGGGGATATTCGTTGGAGACGAGAAAATTAGAATAAAGAGTGTCAAGAAGAAGTAATTGAACGAGTTAATGTATACGATTTTGACGCGTCGTGTGGTCCTACGCATCCCAAAGTACAATCCACAAACCAAGTCAAGGCTTCAGTTAAACTTCTTACACTTGAAGCCTGTTACGTTCGTGGAAGAGAAATCTGGTTCGTGTTCTCTGCCACTGGGTCTCGTTTTGAGGTTCAGTGGGTTGACAGAAAGCTGAACTGTTTAGTCCTGCGTAGAGTTGAGTACGAAGCTTCTTCTGCTAGAGGATTTTTTTCCCCTTTGTACTCGTAGTGTTGGGACATACATTTTGCGCTTGAATTACAATGATGTTATACTGTGACTGCTCAGCCCTTCGAGGTGCTCGTAGTTTTTCTTGAGATTTGGCAACAGAGGATGGGTATATAGCACACCTACCGCCGGTTTATAACAACGGGCGTATGGTCTAGAGGTATGATACTTGCTTTGGGTTGTTTGGCCATTGCAAGGGGTCTCCGGTTCGAATCCGGATTCGCCCCAATTTTTCTTCAGCTGAACTTTTTTTATATCCTTCTTTCTCTCGTCTCGTATCGCTACCCCAGTCGATCGTGCTCTGTAATTACTGATTTTTGGAAGAAAATGAGACAGTAGAATGTGTTGGATCCAAAAAAAAAAATATCAACCCTCATCCTGAGATTCCTACTGATTCCTACACCCTTGAACTGTTAGAGTAAATGTAATTATACGTAGTTGTTGCTCGGGCATTCCGCCACTTATGTACATAGTTTACTTATAAGTATACTCTGTAGGTAGAGTAAATACTATTCGCTCTTGTCCTTTCAATACCCCCACGTCGTTGCGATTCTGCTCACTGTCGTGAGTGTCGACCGTCCCGCATGCCTCAACGACTGTAAAGTATATAGAGGCCATCCTCCACGGTGATATCTGGATCAAATGAGGAGCCATCCTACATGGATTTATCCGAGCTGTAAACTTGAACTGGGCGAGTGAGAAAGTGATTCAACCTGGACTAAACAGTATTAAGGGAAGCTCCTTGCTGCAGCAGCCTAGGGGGTGCGAAGATTAAGTCCGACTGGACGATGTAGTTTTCTGAGCCACTCGGTTGCGTGCTCACACGGATAATGATGAGGTTGAATGCAATCGAAAGAATTTGGAGTTCCTGTTAATTTTTATTATCAGTCCAGACCGTCCGAAAAACATATCCTCCGTGTGCCTACCACATTTGAGAGCATATAGAAGATGTCATTGCCCACTGCGAATGTAACGAAGGTGATGAAAGCCACAGTCGTGTACATCAGACCCGACTCGATGATAATTCGAGTGACCCTTTGGAGCCTCGTCTTTCTGCGGACACTGCGTCCAGAGAGGCCTGGGGAATCCTGCACACTGTCCATCGTTATCTGACTTTGAATCCATAGAGACTACTCTCTCTGTCTACACGCCAGATGCGATATACAATGAAACCTTGGATGAACGCCAGTAAGCGTTTGCTAATAAATAATGCATGGATTTACCAGTGGTAATGATATTAATGGCTAGCGAAATAGTCCATGCGGCACTAATAGCGGCTTGGGGGTCCGATGCTGCCTCAGTGAGCAGTACTGGAGGTTTCCCTCTGGCGCTTGCTTCCAGGAAGATGATGAATAACACCATCGCGACCTCCCCGAGCCATAATAAGAAAGGAAAGGCTACCACAGTGATACTGCGGTTCAATACAATCCAGCATCGGTATATCTGGAGGCGAGTGAGATTTGAGGTAAAGTCAGCTGTGGCTATCAATTGCCCACCAAAATGGCGTCACTGATAAGCTTGCCGAAAGCAATGTTACATGTCTAGATACACATACGAATACGATGGTCAAAATGAGTTCGATACGGACAAGGGTACAAGAGGTCAATGTAAGCACTCACCCCCAAGATATTGGGCATGTGGGACAATCCAACGAACTCTGTTGTTGGACCACCTGGGCCGGTGAAAAATATAAACGCCTGTATGGGACGCACCACTAGCAATACAGTGTTGAATGTGCACAATATCAAAAGAACAAGGGCCATTGCGAGCATTAACCAGTTGATTGACGATGCAGGCTTAAGCTTAGCGCCTTTTGCATTGGACTCCCAAAGAAGATAGCGCAAGCAGTAGGCAGAGGTGATTAGGTACATGCCCCAGAACACGCTAGAGAGAAACACGGTTAACAGTTCAACCTCGCTGATCCCAATTGGCATTGGGGATACTTGTTGATGATGGCGGGACGAGTTGACGATCCTGTGAGTCTGAGTGTTTTTAAACGTTGGCGAAAACCGTCACAAACCTCCAGACGTCAAACTTATTTCCCCGTTGCGTCTGTAATCAATCATTTGGAAAAGCAGATGATTTAGATTGTGATTCCTCATTCAACAGGAATACCTCCACGTTCCAGAATCAAGATGTCCAAAAACCAGGATGTATCCCGCCGCGAAGAAAACGAGGTTCTGGTTTAGCCCAAGAACGTCATCAGAATGGTGATTACTATACACTGGTGTCGGCGTCATTCAGGAAGAAAATTGAATGTAGACTAGTGTAGACCCAAAGGGCGGGTTTGACGTTGTTATCGAGTTTAATCTGTTCCTTCGCAGCAGCCATTGCAACCTGGAAGAGGGGCATGAGCACTTCGTCTCACGATTTATTCATCATTGTACCTTGCAACGGCCTAGTATGCATTAGTTTAATGAATCAATAATCAAGTATCAGCGCCAACTAGTTTATTCTGATTTGACAGTCTGGAAGGCAGATCCTGGCTGATCTAATTGAACCAAGCAATGAAAAGAATGAGTGCGAGGGAACTTATACACTGTACATGCGCTGGGTGAAAATTTCACTTGATCCATTTTGACCTTAGTAACTACAAAATGAAAACCGAGCGTTAGATTAGCCCTTGGGCAAAGTTCCTCGGAGGAAGACATCAAGAATTACTGAACCTTGTGAGGGGATTCAAAAGTCGGAAGACTACTTAGTACTTACTATTGAGAAGACTGGAGTCAAGAGTAACTTCGAGAGGCGACGAAGTCGAGTTTTGAATCAGTCCAAACCTGTAGCAGAGTCAAGGCTCGATTGATTAGCAGTGAAGCAAAGTACTTACCTCTTTGCTTTAACCGTTGTCAATGCTTGAAGGTGAACTCGATTATTCGATTATTTTTTGTTTCTAAGCGCTTATGTGTTGCCAGGCGCTAAAGGCCGCGGTGTGAGCTATCCGTTCGCACAGCGATGTATTATAATTTATCTTCATTGTCTTTACATTCCGACCGTCGAGTTGTGGCCGCCGTAGTCCTAGTGAGAATACTTACTTAGTACTACTATGCATGGTACCCAACTTCCAAGAGTTAAAGTAGACACTCTAAATTAAAATCTTGGCCATAGTCGCCTAGCTATACTTATAATAATACATAGCGTGTGGTATAGGGGTATGATACTAACGCTTTGAGGAAAAATGTCCATTGCAAGGGGTCTTCGGTTTGAATCCGGACTCACCCCGATGTTTATACCTGTGAGATATTGTTTATTTGTTCGTATTGGTTGCTATGAGCTGGAATTTTATTAGTCCTTCGTGGCCTAGGCAGCTAGATATTTCTCAAACTACCAAAAGTAGTATTTATAGTATTTGCTGATTTCAATCTACATCTGTAGCACGATCACATGTGAACCCCCGGTGAGGTTCAGAATCGAATCTGCTCCTTTCATATCCGTTGCACTCCCATCCACCGAAATATGACCCGCACTAGGAAGGGTTACCGTACCCTTAGTTCCGCTTGGAGTATCAATAGCCAACGTAAAGACGGTGTTATATGTCAGCGCCCAATCTGCCCCAAACCATCCCAGGTTAGTTTCGAACCCCCCCTCAGCAGCAGTCAAACCACTCAGCACCGGCGCTACCGACCAAGTTGCACCCTGAGGTGAAGTCACCATTAGGCCTACTCAGGCTAGATAAAATATCAAAGAGAATGTAGGTCCTGTCGCCCATCCATGGCCATGGCTAGTAGCTATGTGGTCAAAATGAATCTATCCAGCGGCCGAACTCGGAACGATATCTAAAGGTAGCGAGTCAGAAAGCTTTCCAAGTCTTGACAGGTTCACACTGACCCTAAAGATCCGTTTGCGGTAAAGCCTTCAAGCCTAGCATCGTGGATTGTACTGAAATATTCGTATACAGCATATAGCCACTCCCCGTTGACACGCCGAATTACGCTGTACGCCGAAATTCAAGCGAAATGTCATCATTTAAAAGACCCCGTGAAACACGTCACATCACTACCTAGGGTACGTTATGTATTAGACACTTTGAAGGTCCACTTCAGGTATCTAGTATGTAGAAACCCATTTGAAGGGAGATACACTATGTTTTAAGAGGCTACATTACTGTGCAAGGATGCATCGTTGACCCACAAACTCAAAATCAATCAAATTGATTTACCTAGATTGATTTAGGCTTGCCAGATCTAAAGTCTATTCAATTAATACTACCTACTACAAAAAGTCCTATACAGGGATATACAAGACAGTATTAAAATAGATGAAGAGAGACGAATGAGGGCAAGCATAATGCGAACCCATATCCGTTTAAAGTAAGAGAATCGAAGCACTGGTTCCCTGGAACGAACCACAGAGAGAAACTAGACGATTAGTGATGAATTAGGCGCCGGGGATCAAAGTGGCCCGGCGCCGGCAGTAAAAGAAAGGCGGGGCGCGTCCTAGCGACATGCCTATAATAAAATTTATTCGGACCGACCTACGGGACGGTCCACCTGTATACAAGTACCCGGTAGGACCCGGGAGGAGAAGAGAAAAGGGGAGATACGGAACGACGCCGCAAACTTGAACCGCGGGACGGACGGACCGCCCGGCGCTTAAAGCGCATCAGAGTCGAACCACTCATCGGGAATGCATCGTTCTTCCCTCCCCTCCGTTACTTATTAAATAAAAGGTGTAGAAAAGGTGTAATATGGGTAGAGGACCCATGAGACAATGATATAGAGCCCTGGGGACAGTGTAGGAACCAGGAGAACACTTATAAGCTCACTTATGGCTTAAAAGGGCAACATGAGATTTATCATCTTGGCTCTTGGCAAGCCAAGAGCGTCTTACCAACCCATGGTACCTTAATTAAGAAAATTTCAAGGACCTAGGAGTATAAAAAGGCAAGGAAATGAAGAGAAAAGCATTCTTTCTTACCCCCACCAGGTGTAGCAGCTCCTTATCAGGCTACTACTAAAAGATTGAATTGATATAAAGACTGGGATTTACAGAGAGAAATTGACAAGCAATTGAACTTGAGTAAAGAGACAGAAAGAGATTCAGTGTGAACTGAGTGCAGAGAAGTTAAGACAAAGACTTAGAAAGGACTTTGAATATTATTTTCAAACCACAGTTAGGCTGCAGTCAGAGCTCTGTCTGAGTTATAGGGACACCCTCTGGTCAGTTGTGACTTGTGTTAATTTGTGATTTTACCAAGGGACTTAGGAATAGTATTTGTTTGACAGCTCAG